TGGAATTTCTCATAAATTTACTCCAATATCTGATGCAATTTATCATCATATTGGCAAGTAATTAATAATTGTTCAAACTATTGTTGTAACAATTTATGTAAACTGAAAAAAATCTATTAGTAACACATCCTCTATTCTAATTCCGGATAAAAATTTTGATCTGATCATATATACAATTAATATTCATGGAAAGAACATTATAACAATCTATGCGAGATTTTGGTCATTTCTAATTTTGTATAAATTCCAAAGTGCATAGTTCATCTGCAAAGCAATCCACATTCTGCGGGTAAATTGGCAATTCTATGAATAATATATTATTAGATAAAGCCACTCTATACGTGAAATACATAATTAATCAATATAATTCTATGAGCATTGTAATTTCACGTGAATCTAGACATTTGAATTTCGATTATGGTTATATGTTTTAATCTGATTTAATTGTCAGTACTAATATTTTAATTTAAACTTTCTGTATAAAAACTTACCTTCCAGATTATGGCAAATTTCACTACTTCCTCCTCACAGTATGCGGCTTCGTCAGCACCAGCGAGGAGATGGACGTAATCTCTATGTCCTTCATCCTACCTAGTGCACAATGTGACCTAAAGCTCGATACCCAAGCCAAGGGATGGCTCAACTCGATCATCTTCATCGGCATGATGGCAGGTGCTTACGCTTGGGGCTCTGTAGCGGATGCCCTAGGCCGTCGGAAGGTTCTCATCGCCATCTCCTTCACGAATGCACTCTGCATCGTTGCCTCCAGCTTCAGCCAGTCCTACGAACTGTTTATGTTCTTCCGTTTTCTAAACGGCGCCGCGTAGGTTCACCAATTCAACACTTTTTTTTTATATTATTATCATATCAACATCTAGAAGTAGCAGAGTGATGAAAATTAGCAGATTGTAATTTTTTTCAGAGGAATCTTATAGATTTAGAAGATGAATTTTACAGAGAAGATTCCCAACATATGTTTAATTTTATTTCACATTCTCCACGAGTACTAGACATTAGTAGTAAAATTCAATTAAACCATCAAAATTAATTTAGTCTAAAACTGTTGGTTTTTGTGTCTTCTGTCGCTGAATGACACCGATAAATTATTTTAAAAAATGTATTAATTTACAGACTTGGTGGCAGTGGACCTGTGATCTGGTCATACTTTGCTGAATTTCAACCAAAGGCAAAACGAGGCTCAATGCTGTCCTTTATGGCTGCATTCTGGACACTTGGAAATCTTTTTGTTGCTGGTAAATTTGCAAAAAATTCGTTTCACATGTTACATCAGTATCATAGTATTTTCAATACTAAAAGTTATTTTCTAACTATTATGCTAAAACAAGAATTAAGAAATTATCTTAGTTTCAAAGAGAACTTCTTTTTGCACGTGCAATATTAATAAATAAATTTGTGCTCGTGTTTATTATTAGGTTTAGCATGGTCGATCATCCCTAATGACATTGGTATCGTAAGTTCATCGTTCACATACAATTCCTGGCGAATCTTCCTGCTGATCTGCGCTGCTCCATCGTTTATCGTCGCGGGGCTGCTCCTGCTGCTCCCTGAATCCCCCAAATACCTCTTGTCCTGCGGAAGATATGAGGAAGCGCTCGATATCTTCCGCGGGATCTACGCCATTAACACTGGCAAACCGCGTGATAGTTACACGGTAAATACTTTATTATCTTACTTAACTTAATTGAATCACAATCTCAAGACACAGAATTAATATAAATTTTATTACAAATTATAAATCTGAAGATTCTTATTAATAACTCAAAGTGTAGTAATAACTTTTACTACAATTGCTTAACTTAATTGAATCACAATCTTAAGACACAGAATTAATATAAATTTTATTACAAATTATAAATCTGAAGATTCTTATTAATAACTCAAAGTGTAGTAATAACATTTACTAGAATTGCTTAACTTAATTAACTTAACTTAATTGAATCACAATCTCAAGACACAGAATTAATATAAATTTTATTACAAATTATAAATCTGAAGATTCTTGTTAATAACTCAAAGTGTAGTAATAACATTTACTACAATTGAAAAGATCTGTAGAAATCTATAATTTTAATTTCACAATTTGTGACATTGTCGTGCAGGTAAAAGAATTAATTTTGGATGACTTCCAAGAACCGGAAACGAAGAAGAGTACCATTGAGAAAAATAAATACAAAACAATGCTCGCCGACATCGTAGACAATAGCAAGCAACTATTCATCTCGCCGATACTTCGTTTCACCATGATATCCATCATCATCAACTTCACTTTTCATATTGGTTATTACGGTTTGATGATGTGGTTCCCGGAATTGTTCAATCGTTTCGACGAGTATCACCGCGATCATCCTGGCGAGATCGCTTCGATATGCCAAGTGACCGACTATGTGGTTCAAAAAGGTTCTCAGAGCATCGAGAATTTTTGCTCGGACAAAATCGGCGCCTCCGTTTTTATGGAATCGTTGATCACCGTTGCGTCCGCCATACCTGCGAATATCATCGCTGTTCTAGGAATGGATCGTCTTGGTCGCAAATTCTTCTTAGGTAAAGACCGTTTGATATTTAAATCACTATTCAAGAGAAGACAAATGTCCAGTGTATCTTAAATGAAGATGAAAATTTATTAGTAATTTCGGACAAGAAAAATGTTTTCCCAAATAACGAGTATACAATTATTTCATTGAAATACTAAAATATCCAATAAATTTAAAAATCAAACAATAAAGTCATTTCTAACATATCTATAAAAAGAAAAATATTTATTTATAATGTAAATAAAATATATTATTTATTTGCAGTGTTCAGTACATTTTCATCGGGGCTCTGTTCAATCGGATTGTACTTCGTATACAATAAGCATCATAATCTGATCGTTTCGGCAATTTTCAGCGGCGTGATAAGCTGCGGAAACGCGGCCTTAGATTGTCTAATAACTGAAGTTTTTCCAACGCCACTACGCGCTACGGGAATTGCTATTTCCATGGTTGCGGCACGTCTCGGTGGAATTATCGGTAACATCGTAATCGCTCAACTCTTGGACATGTATTGTCCAGCGCCAACTTTCATCGTTGCTGCTCTTTTAATAGGCAAGTTTTTTTTTTTTCTTTTTTCTCTTTTAAATATGGAGTGTTCTCCTCCAAATTAAACTTTACCAAATGATATAAATTATACTTCTTTTGCAGGTGGAGGATTATTGTGTTTATTCTTACCAAACACAACTCGGGAACCACTTTCTTGACACCAGTGGAGAATTATATCAGACCGATTGAACCGATGTACAGTACCTTTCAATACACGCACCTTTCAAATTGATAAACTTATCACGTTTCAGAGCGTTGTACGTTCATACATTCGTTCGCATTTACTCATGAAACGATTCATTGTGAACAATGTACATCCTGACGAATTGAGCATCACATTCCTATTTTACATATCAATCCTTGAATGACAATAAATAACGTAGTATTAACAATTAGAATTTATAGTAGATAGTAGATGATATTTTTTGGAGAATAAATGACACGAATGCAGAATTTTCTACAGTATTTTCTTTGTAAAGAAATATAAAGGTTATGCTATTTCTATCATATATTCAGTACTAGATGTTCGATAGAACGTCGATGTCACCCTTCAATCGTGTGTGAACTTTGTTTACTGTCGTTAAACGTGAAAGAGATGTACCTTCGGCATCTACGCTGATTATTCATTTTGGTGTTCGTAACATTTTTGTTATGTACTTTTATATCTCTTGTGTCCATATTTCAGACGTAGCCATTATATTTATAAGGTGTAACAATCACGACATGTTTGAAATGTAAAACGTGGTGTAACAATGAAAAAAAAAAAAAAAAAAGTAAAGAAACTTAACTAAATCTATTACTTTATAAATTACCTAATAACCTTTTAGATATAATTATTACGAAATATAAGATTGAACGTAGAAAATACTTGGGAAGAAAATGTTAAATACCAAAGATTATGTAATAAAAGATTTGAATTTTAATTCGATTTCAAATAATTATTACCCTCAAAGAAAAAGGATAAAAATGAAATAAGAAAATTAGAGAACACTGCAATCTTCATTTTTTTCATATATTTAATATCCAGCTAGTATATAAAATTATTCCCTCATCATTTTCTCCTTTTGCCTGGCAAGCTTCTTCTTACTGAGTTTCTTTTTCGACGGCTCTTCCTCTGGACTCTTTACTACAAAATCTTCTTTCTCAGTTAAAATCACTTCAATGTGACATGGTGAGCTCATGTAAGCTATGAGAACATGAAATAATATAAATTATCTGAACTGCATTAAAAATATTTACGAATTACATAATACATTTTAAAGGAATATCATTACAGATACTTACGATTAATACGACCATGAGCTCTGTATGTTCTTCGGCGTAAACAAGGGGCATGATTTACTTGAATGTGGTTAATTACAAGACGGTCAAGATCTAAGCCAGCAACATCAGCGTTACTTTCAGCATTCTTCAAGAGCTGGAGTAAAAATTCTGCTGATTTTTTGGGCCATCGACCTGAATTCAAAGACAGATACAATAAAAGTAACTTTCAGATATTAAAAAATTAGCAGAATATCAATTATTCATTGCGATTTACCTTGTGTAGTGCCAAATTGCTTTGCCTGGGCACACCTGCCAACACCTCCATTAAATCTACGGAATGGTACACATTCCTTGTGTTCGATTACGTTTTTCAAATATTTCTGCGCTCTTCGCAGGGACATATTTTTAATAGCACGTGCGGTTTCATGTGTATTCTGGAACGTACGAGAAAAATAAACAATGATAAAATTTACCAAACGAAATAAACTGTTTCGCAGCATTTTGTAAACATAGCTCAAATTTTGAGGTTAAGTTTTTCGGAGTACAGCTGTCTCTTCAATTTACCTTGAAGTGCACCCGCAGATTCGATCCTCGTGCCTTGCACGATTTACTTGCATTTACTGGTTCATGAGAGTAACGACCCATTGTATTCTGGAATTACAGAGAAATTCGATGATTATCTTTCACGTCGGCATCTTGTAATATCAGTGTCGCAACATAACCTCGCCATGACGTATGTTTGGAAATCAATAACCATCGGTTATCAAACATTCGCATCTTACATTTTTCACATAATTGTTATATAGTGTCACATCTTTTCAAAATTTCACGGTTTCAAGAGACGTATTAGCATAAAATCGAAGATGCGAGTAGATTCAGAAATTGCCATTGCCAAAGGTTATACATACCTTTTAACAGCACACTTGTAAAGGAAAAAATGTCACGCGTGCAACTCGAAAGGTACTTCCTGCGAAGTTACCAACATAAAACATCGGATAAAAAGAATCTATGAACAATGTTATCTTATTTAGTTTTAATAAAATATAAGCCATATACAAGCGAATTAGATTGCAATTTCAATATTCTTAAAAGTTTTACATGGCTCGACGTAATTCCATACTTAAATCTAATTCTTGATTTTAAAAATTAGTCAAGTTCGAAATAATAATAAATAATCAAGTGTTTGTCATTCATATATTTGTATTAATAATATTAAAAAGCGTCGTATCACAATTGACGTCTTGCAATGCAAAATCAATTCATTTAAATGTTCAAGAAAAGTGTTTCTAGGAACTTTTAAAACGGCCACTGTACGTGTTTGTCGTTGTCCCGGGAAGATTCGTATAACCTCTTCTCGTTTGCACAATATTTTTAACAAAAAAAATACGCGTACTCGCGCTGTTTTGCAATTGTTGTTATTAAATTAATAATTCTTTTCCAAGTGGAATGTACGTTTTTCTGTTGTTCGCCAATAAATCGAGTCTGACGGCGAACTTGACAAATCGAGGCTTAACAGTTTCAGCATCTCAGGCCGAGACTACACCTTGCTGAATTTAAGATTTTTGAAAACGATGACGTGCGTAACGATACATGTACTGTAATTAGAAATATCGTTGTAAAAACCCTTCGATCGAATAAATTCTCGACTGATTAAATAGGTGTATTTAATTTTATCGGAGATTTATTTTCGATAAGTGATACATCCGTGCGCGTAAGAATTGTCAAGGGCGATTGTTCAACTTTGCAGTATAAATGTCAAAGAATAAGTTAAATCTGACGCTACCACCTGGTTCGATAGAACCAGTTCCAGCTGTATCACCGTCTCCGCCGGTACCACCGTTGCCCATTTATTCTGAGCCACCAGTAATTCCAGAGTAATTACTTCTTTGATTCAAATCTTTATTGTTCAAAACTAACGAGTTGTATTCATTTGCATGTGTGTGTTTATTAATTTTTGTTCATTTTAATTGTAGTGGAGTTATGGGAAAGATGAGTATAGATGCCATTCAGGAGAGGTTAAAGGAATTGGAAATGGACGAAGAGCAAAAGAAAAGGCTAGAAAGCTTCTTGGGACAAAAAGAAAAGGTTGGAGAACTGTGCGATGATGATTTTGAGAAGCTTGGTGAGCTTGGTGCTGGTAATGGTGGTGTTGTTATGAAAGTTAGGCACAAAAAGTATGGACTTATAATGGCAAGAAAGGTGTGACTCGTATTCAGTGAATTTATTTGCATCAGTTTAGAAATTAGTGTATTGTAAGCTGATGTATGATGTGTTACATCCTCTTTGTTTCTTTTACTCCTTCTACAATATATTTGAGAATCATTTAAATTGATGAGGATTTAACACATCAGCAATTTCACCTGTTATAACGATTATAATTGTAACATTTTAGCTAATACATTTAGAGGTCAAACCTGCCATTAAGAAACAAATAATTAGGGAACTGAAAGTTCTTCATGAGTGTAATTTTGCACACATAGTTGGCTTTTATGGTGCTTTTTATAGGTACAATGTTTTTATCTAATGTAATTACTTAGAATCTAGGAGATTAAAATATTTGTATTAAATGTTTTATTTATTTTAGTGATGGAGAAATTAGTATATGTATGGAATATATGGATGGTGGTTCATTAGATTTAATACTGAAAAAAGCTGGAAGAATTCCAGAACCTATATTAAGTACAATTACTTCAGCAGTAAGTATTAAACTTGGTCTTTATTATTATATCCTAACTTGCTTATGCATATAGCTTATATTTTGTACTTATAACTAAAAACATAATAGCAACTGAATCATTTAAACACTAGTTATGAACTTTAGATACCGATATTTAGTAGTAAGTTTCCTGTTCTATAATTCCGCCAGGGAACTTACGAATACATAATCTTCTTAATTCATCATACATCCAAAGGAATGCACCGAATGGTAGACACGGCCAGTACCAGTAAGAACTCAGTGGCATGGTTTTTAATACTTTCTCAGTTCCTGGCACGTATAGCAACATGCCAGTCAAGATAATTTCAAAAACGAAAGAAAAATTTAAGAACCAGTTATCCATTCCTTGCTGTAGAATCGAGTTGACTCTTGTTTTACACATTATTAAATCTATGAGTTGAGTTATAACGATAGTTAAGAAATATCCGGTACGAGCTTCGTTCAATAACTCCATTCTGTTATCGTAGGTCCATGTCTGACCGTAAGAATCTTGCAAGTCGTTGATCAACTTATCCTCCCAATCTAATCTTAATCCTAATAATCGATCAGGCAGGAATCCGTTCAACATGAGAATCATAAAAAACGTGTAAAATGCAGCTAAGGACTGAGTCATTCCAATTTGACCATAGGCTATGGATATCAAACGTTTGTTTACAAGTTGATCGTATTGAGGATTTCTCGGTGGCCGATGCATGATATCGGATTCCGCTTTCTCATATGCTAATGCTATCGCGGGAAGTAGATCTGTCCCTACATCTACGCAGAGGATCATCTCTAGGATAAAAGGCAAAGGAATGACGAACAGAATGCTGCACAGCATGGGCAACATTTCGGGCACGCTAGACGTCAGAGTGTAGACAATGGATTTCTTGAGATTGTCAAATATCAGTCTACCTTCTTCGATGCCGGTCACAATCGATGCGAAGTTGTCGTCCATCAGGATCATGTCGGCCGCGTGTTTCGCCACGTCAGAACCAGCGATGCCCATAGCCACACCGATATCCGCTTTCCTTAACGCTGGCGAATCGTTCACACCGTCACCAGTTACCGCGACGATTTCCCCCAGTCTCTGGCAACTCTCCACGATGTGCAACTTCTGCTGCGGGGATGTCCTTGCGAAAACTATCTCTTCGTACTTTTTTATAAGATTGTCTAGCTCCATGCTTCCCATGTTACGTAATTCGGAGCCAGTGATGATGGTCGCATGTTGGTCGGCCTCGGTTATTTGAGTGTGCGATTTGTTCTGCAGTAACGCACGTTCGTATCTGGTCTCGTGTCCCTCGCTTATTATACCTACCTTTTTCGCAATGGCCATCGCGGTTACCGGATGGTCACCCGTCACCATGATTACTTTAATGCCAGCTGTACGACATTTCCTCACCGCGTCAGGCACAGCTGGCCTCGGCGGGTCTATCAGACTTATCAGTCCAATGAATCTGTATCCTGTTGTAGGGAAATTGTACGTGCTTGGAGAGTCGGTGTCGAACTTGTAGTCCGAGTCATAAATATCACCCGGCAGATGAAGATCACAGTAAGCTATCACACGTTCGCCCAGGAAACCTAACTCGCC